TTTCAATACGTAGACAATGGGCAGAAATTCTTCAATGCTTCCCTGTAACATTCTTTTTGGACTGTTTTAAAATAATTCTCTTGACCAAATATATATTTAAATTTTCTATAAAAGCACAGCTTCGGAAATAGCTCGAGTCTACTTTGCCAATTTTGAATATCAATGTCCAAGCATCGCTGTTTGAAAAGCTTAACAAAGTATTCAGAGTTCCCCACCCCTTGGTTGTACCATGCCTCACCCAGGCCATAAGAAGAAAGTAACATTTTTAAATTCACTTTTTACCCCTTTCTGCTTCATGGTACTGAAACATGTAACATAAATATACCAGTCTGTGTCGGGGTAATGATAAAATGCGACGCCAGTACTTAATAATCCTAATAAGTCTAAACGTTTTAATAGTAAACCTACCTAACTCCCCCCTTATAGCCAAATTTGGTGCATTATGATAGACTTTCAATATATATCGACAGAATTTGTTTTGTATAATTTCAACTTGATTGCCATTGTGAAAGCCCCAGACTTCGCTATCGTACATTAAAATTGGTAGGATTTTACCATCAAAGATTTTAAATGCAATATTTACATCAATACTTTTCTTAATCGCAAACAACGATCCTGACGCTTTTTTGGCCAAACTAGACTGGGCATAGTTCCAAAGCCCAGAACTCGACAATACTATACCCAAATAATTAAAATAAGAAACAACTTCTAGTTTATGTCCTGCAAGCCACCATTGCTCAGTTGATTTCAATCTGCCCCCACGCCTAAATACCATTACTTTAGATTTATCAATATTAACTTTTAGTCTCCATTTATTTGCATATAGATCCAAATTATTCAGAAGACGTTGTAAACCTAATGAAGAGCTAAAAACTGACAAATCGTCTGCAAATATCAAATAAAATAATTTTATAGGCATTATATAAACTCCGGCGTGATTGTTTTGTATTGATTCGCCAAGATCATTTACAAAGAGAGAGAAAAGGAGTGGCGATAAAACACTGCCTTGTTTGACTCCTACTTCACATTTGAACAACTCAGAAATACCTACTGGGGAGCGAACACATGCCCTGATATCTTGGTACATGGACTTCAATACTTTAAATAGTTTGCCACCCATTCCAGATTTTGTTAGTTTATAAAAGAGTAAGGTGTGGTTAATCCTATCAAATGCCTTTCAAAACCTATAAATGCCCAGTATAATTTACTTCCTAATGACAAATAACGACCAATAATGGTTGATGAAACGAATAGACTGTCAACTGATGAATATTTTTTACGAAAACCAGCCTGTTCTTAGGATAGTGCAAGTTGACCTAATTAAGCAGACTGAAAACTTTTGTCTTCGATGGCAATAATGTAATACCTCTATAGTTATTAACTAAATCTCTTTCAACCTTCTTATAGACAGGAATAATTAAACCATGTACCCATTGTGGAGGGAATATACCAGTATTGAGTATTGTATTGAACAGTTTAACAAGTAATTGTTTAAATATCATAGGAATATGCTTAAATATTTCCGGCGATAAACCATCAATACCAGCTGTCATATTTGCATTTAACCGATTAAGGGCATGTTCCAATTCCACAATTGTAATAGCTTGATCTAAAATCTGATAATCAATCTAATAATTATATACAGTGCCATCAATACAATGTAAATTATACGGTCATTGTAAGTATTGTTTGTGGTTAAATAGATGCAATTTTCAAACCAGCAGACTGCTGTAAAATTGCTAGATATGCTACCAGGCTTCACGAGGCTAGCAACCACTTTGATTAATATAAATATTAGAGCTATTTGAAACGTACAGTAAATGCGAAACTTGATGACAATCCATGGCTTTCAGTTGATTTAAAGACAGTACATCAGAAATGAGGGAACTAATGAGTTATAAAATATTATAAAAAATATCCATGATTTAATAATATGGTCAGAATTCTTTTAGGTCCACATTAGCATGTAGTGAATCATTATAATGTGAAATACTCACTCACATGATTAAAAAGGTGTTTATGCATATGCTGTGAATACTTATCTTGGTGTTGAGCTTGTTAAAGTGCCATACTTCAACATTAATAAATTTAACACAAATTAAGATTATCTACCACATCACTTGACGGATGAGTTTATTGGTGCGCGACTATTGATTGATCATGTTATAGTTAACTTTGAAACAACATAATCATATGTAACCACGTCCCAGATCATACAGAGAGGAGAGAATAAGGGACGGGCAACTGCAGAAGAATACTATGAGGATATTTTGCAATATGCTTACGACAGACTAGTGCGAAAATCGAGGAAATAAAAAAATCATATTAGTGTAATGCATCTATGAGGCAGAAAGTAATTTTCCTCCAACCCATTTAATAATCTGTTTTTCAAAAATATGATGTATCAATTACATTCAATAATCGTGAAAGGTGAAATCCGTCCATCGAAAAGCATAATTAGAATTTTCGTGGATTTTGTAGATGTGTCAATATATTTATCAATATGTTTTTCACTGGAGAAGCGCAGAATGGGCAAAATTTAGCAGAACCAGGACACGAAGAGTCATCTGGAGAAATTGGACAGAAAGACACAAAAGGAAACTGAATCAAAAAACTGGAAAAAAGCTCAAGGATTGAAGAGTTTTAAATGTGCAATTATGGTAGTTGAGAACACAACAGCATACCAATGCCAGATAGATTTGTAATATCACATTGGTTAACACCGACAAAGTACTTTCATCAGTGA